TAACTGGAAAATTTCACCTTTTGGTTTGCAATATCCAAAAAACCTTCAAATTGAGGCTATCATCTTCATTGTCCTCACCATGAAATATGGTAGCTGGCCATAAATTATGCCAAGCATTTTTTAACGTATCTAGAGATACATTCTTCCATGATCTTGCGATGCTCTGCACAGCAGATTTTATGCTAAAAAATATCAAAAAATCTTTAATAGTCTTGACTTTGTTCAAGAAATTTTGCATAGATTTTAAAAATGCTAGTTTATATTTGCATTTCAGCACGTGCACTATTCCCATATCCATAGGTTGAATGATAGATGTAAAATTTGAGGGAAGAATAATATGGATACATTATCTTTCACTAAAACATTAAGTGAAGTATGTGCCGAACAGTTGTCAACAATGAGGACTATTTTTGAGTCATCGGGTAAACCAACTGAATTCAGATGACACCGAGCCCCGGGTATAAAATGATTTTCAAACCAATCATTCATCAACGTTTATGTCATCCATGCTCTTTTATTTGCACGATATATAACAGGGAAAATCGTTACTCCTGTAAATGCTTGAGGTCATGCATGTTTTCCGATTATTAAAAGTTTGCACTTATGTGTTCCTGCAGCATTTGTGCATGCTAAAATTGTTAGTCTCGCTTTGGAATCTTTGACACCAGTTGGAGCCGTTTCTGTAGAGTTTGCCAAGGTATTTCGTGGTACATATTGCCAGAAAAGACCAGTTTCATCAGCGTTGTAAATTTGTTCTGGAGATAATTGTTCGCTAGTAATGAGTTCAATAAATTCATCTGCAAATTGTTCAGCAGCTTCAGTATCAGCTGAAGCTTTTTCACCTGAAATTTTTGTCTTATATCATGGCGATTTTTTAATTTGGTTAACCGACCTGTCGAATATGTGCACTCAGTGTTTAAGTCATTTTTCATGAAATATTTTGGCTTGAGCCATTAGCATTGGATTCGTCAATGGCACGCCCTTCGCTGCGATGCTGTGACCCATTCCAAGTCATCACTTTGTCATGATCGTCACTTTATAGCATAATGAACAATTTTTCTGTTATTCATTGTGAAGGTGGGTTGTCGAAATCCTACAAAAAATTCAAAAAGTTTCCGTTTTCTTTTTTGCTTTATGTCATATACAGTTGACTTTCCAAGTGCCATACTCCTCGCATAATTTTGAGAGACGGATATGCCTTTATCCCATTTTTTGCAGCAATTCCACTTTTTGGTTTAAATGGTACATCGAAACATGTGCTTTTCCTTTGTAGATCCTTTTGGCAGCTCCAGAATTGGAAACTCTTTTTCGACATAACCAAAAATTCAAGCTTTAATTTTCATAAAATTGCTGTAATAATAACAGTCTGCAAAAAATAATAACCTGGATCAAATTAGAAGAATTAAGGAGCAGCACAGTCTGTTACATTAACCATGAAATTGCCATAGAATCAGTAAAGATAATTTTAGCCTAGCTTATATTGACCGTTATACATTAAACACGCATGCGTAAACACATTACGTGCATGCATAAAGCATACAAAAAAAAAGTTTGTGGCTTTGAGGTCCAGATTATAGATCATTCCGGATAATGGACGTCCGGATTGCAGACTTTGTACTGTATATGCTATACTACAGCTATGGTTATATATAATATAACCATATAATATGTATTATGTTACAGTTACATGTGACCATACTGAAAATTTTTTCTGATCAAAATGAAGTCACCGAACTAGATGTTTTTTCATTTAAATTAGCCATATGCTAAAATTAATAACTTCTGTTCTTTGAAAAGTTTTAAGTAATGGAAACACACAAAAAGTGTGAGGATCTGAACAGATACAATCACCATAATAAAACTGACATACAGAACTCTGGGATGGATCACATCAGGATTTTCAGTGGATTTGTTTTGAAGTGGATTAATGAACTGAATAATATGTGTCTGATTAGCAACTGCTCAACAAAAAATGAAAGGTATTCTTAAAGCATATTTAGGGTATACCGTATTTACGCGAATCTAATGCGCATCGTTTTTGGCCAAATGTAGTATTCAAAATTGGGGTGCGCATTAGATTCGATGGCGCATTACATTCGAGTGCAAGCCGATGACGTCAACCAAATTTCTCGACTACGTTTACCTTTACATTTATCGTTGATACATTATTGTATAGAGGATACAAACTGCAGAGTACGTAGTCACGAAATGGAGGGCAAACAGTGAAGAATGTCATATGACGCTACTTTCAAACGTAAAGTAATTCTTTATGCTGAAAAAAAAATGGCAATAGAAAGACAGGGAGAGAGTTCAACGTAGCTGAGAGCAATGTTCGCTTGTGGCGGCAACAGAAATTGGCACTGTTTTGCAACTCTAAGCTAGTAGAAAGAAAATTCACTGGCCCTCGCAAAGGAAGACACCCTAAAATTGAAGAAAAAGTTTTGGAATTTGTACGTGAAAGGAGGAAGAATGGACAACCTGTGACTAGTGACACCATAAGAAATAAAGCAAAAGAGGAGGCTGAAGTTCTTGGAATACCGAAACAAGCGTTTAAGGCTAGCCGTGGATGGGTGGATCGGTTTATGAAGCGAATGGGTTTATTTCTAAGACGCCGTACAACAATATGCCAAAAGCTTCCTGCAGATTTTGAGGGAAAACTACTAACATTTCAGCGGTATGTCATCACACTTCGGAAGGAAAAGAATTTTTCAATGGGGTAAATTGGCAACGCTGACGAGACGGCAATTTGGTTTGATATGCCTCGTAACTACACCATTACAGATAAGGGGACTAAGGAAGTTGTCATCAAAACTTCGGGATGTGAAAAACAACGCGTAACAGTGATGCTGGCAATAACAGCAGACGGGTGCAAACTTCCCCCTTTCTTAATCTTCAAACGGAAAACATGCCCTAAAACCTCTAAGAATGAAAAGCTGTTCCCAGATGATGTCCTGATTCGAAACCAAGAGAAGGGGTGGATGATGGAATCATTAATGCTTGATTGGCTCCGAAATGTATGGAAACGCCATCCCGGTGGGCTCTCTAATCCACCATCAATGCTTTGTCTGGACGCATTTCGTGGTCATCTCACCGACGACGTAAAAAAGAATTCTGTTAACAGATGTTCTGTTAATTAACAGAATGTCTGTTATCATTCCTGGAGGGATTACATCTGTGTTACAACCCCTGGACGTTAGTATAAATAAACCTTTTAAGAGGTACGTTCAGGTGGAGTACGAAAAATGGTTTTGTGAGCCAAACCTTGTATTGACCCCGACAGGAAAAATTAAGCGTGCTGCACCGCACATTGTTGCACACTGGGTTCTGCTGCCTGGAAAAGCATCAAAGCACCAATGATTGTGAAATCTTTCAAGAAATGCTGTTCAAATTCATTGAATGGCAGTGACGATGACGTGCTCTGGAACGCCGAGGATGACGATGATGAGGAAAGAAGAAATGAATCTGCTTCTGACGAAAAGAGCTGCGAGGATTCCAGTGACGAAAACATTAGTGAATAAAGACGTGTACTATTAATCACTGATTGTAGAAACTGTTAGCTAGATAGAAATGTTACGATTTATTTCATGTTCATATTTTACGATAGGTACCGTATATACGGTAATGCTAATTAACAATGATTGTTTCACATGACAATAGCCCACTAATAGGTTAATTCTATGTTCTGCTACTTTATGTATATATCCATTGTTGTATAAAATATGGTATCTAAATTTAAATAAAATTATCATACCATTAATTGATAGTTTATATACAAATCCATTGTTGTATAAAATAAGATTCAATAAATTCCTTATATCATTGATGCGCATTACATTCGCCGACAAAAAATTTTTTTATTATTTAAAGTTTTAAAATGGGGATGCACATTAGATTCGATGGCGCATTAGATTCGCATAAATACGGTATTTCATACAGTCTGTCTTTTCATCACTTAATAGGTCAACCATGTTATCAACAGAATTAAGAATGATGAAAAAATATGGTTATGAGATGAGTTCTGAAACCCTTTATAACAAGGAAGATATGAAGGCAGCTTCAAATGAGCCAAAAAAAAAAAAAAAAAAAAAAAAAAAAAAAAAAAAACCTTATTAATATGCTGCATCTGCTGAACATAGGTGGAAGAGGAAGTGAGGAATGTATACCTTTAGCAACTGGTTTATAAAGCACGGTTCAAAGATGTAGCTTGTCCATTAGTAATATTGATGAGAAAGGCATTCAGTAAATCCTTTCCAAATGTGGACTTGTGGAATATGTTATCTAAATTGTCTATAATTTCGCCAATACAAAAATTTAAATTATATGCTGTATACTGCAGCCATTTTGAATTGAAAATTTAAGTTATATGCGGTCACGTTGCGATAATCCTCTTTAATGACTAGTTTGAAAATTGATTTATTAAAGAAGTCAAACATTACTTAGAACAGCAAAACTAGAGTTGTAAAGTTCTTATTCTCCTTATTCCTTGAATTTCACATTTTCTGCTTTTTGTTGCAAATTAAAACGTTCAACTTGCAGCATTGATGACTGAGTAAGATATTGGACAATTGCTTTTTCAAACAGCTTTGAGCACAATATATGAGAAACATTCTTAGGAAGGCAATAAGATTAACGAGAATTTCCTAGTAATTTTGAGATTAAGGGATGTCTTCAGCATAATTGAAATGAAAGCTTTTATATTGATCAGATAATTTTCAGAAACTGTGTAAATATGAGCAGTTTATTAATATTGAACCTTTGCATAAAAACTGAAGGTATTAATGAATTTTTAAATTTTTTATTTCAAATCAAAATGCAGTAAAAGTATGTTTCTAGTATATTTCCATTAAATTAGTAAAATTTAGTTAAAAATCCTGTAGAAGTATGTATTATTATGTTTCTGTTAAATTAGTAATATATAGTGACAGCTTTGATGTTCAAAGTTTATACTTAGATGTTTGTCTTTTATTTGAAATAGCATATTTAATTTCTCTTTTGCTTAGGTCTGAAAATATTGAGCACCAAGTATTTTATCCTACACTTTATTCCATTCAACTTCGTCTGCAATTAGCAAAAGAATTAGGTGCTGGTATTGCCATATGGGAGATTGGACAGGGATTGGATTATTTCTATGACTTGCTCTGATAGGAATAATTTATATTATTATTATTATTGACAAACTATTTTGTAGGTGCAAAACTTTTCTTTGTGATAATTAAAATAAAAATAATTAAAACAAATTTGTTTTGCTTTCATCTCCTTACAACAACTTCCATATTTTATAACAACTGACATATTTAAAGTTAACACTAATGCTGAAATTTATAGAAATGAATATGTTGAAGCCACTTAAGAACTCTTAAGTGTTTATTTAACACAAGCACAAACTGAAAATTAAGCATCTAAGCTAGCAGCTCTTTGAGCATAAACAAATGTAATTCTGAATTAAGATATTAGTGGTACTCACATCAGATACTTCTTTTTTATAATCTTTGCTAATGCTAACCAACTAAAGCATTGTAAGTGGCGCTTGAACTCATTTCTGCAGCTTGTGGCAAAGTTAACAAAATTTATTGCTCTTAGGATTTTATTACCAATATAAATTAAAAATTCTTGGGACCTTAAAAGAATAAATCCTGACATATTTTGTTCTTGCATTTATGCAAATTTCTTAGTAAGGATTTACACTAATATATCTGAAAATGTTTGCCATGTATGGAGTTATAATGCAGGCAACTTATGTGACATAGCTAAATCAGCATTGCTTTATATATTTGCACTTTCTTTGGCAAAATATGCACTAAAATTGAAATAATGAATAAAATTTATGCTTGCAAGCATAAATTCAAGTCATTATTTCAGTTTTAGTGTATGTATTAGTGTAAATAAAGTCATTCAAATTCTGGGACCATTGCCAATGCCATTAGATATGGTGAAGGTTTCCACCATGAGTGCACAGCGTTTTGATTCAATGTATAGGTTTTTTTTCATCTTTGCACAGATTTTCTTCTTTTTTCTTATGCTAATTTGGGGTTCCTAGTTCTCATTTTAAATTTTGGAGTAATTTTTAATGAAAAAATGTTAAATTATTTAAATATGAGAACAGTTAGTTATAAAGGAAAATAATCTGAAATTCATTTATTTAAGTATGTTTAGGATGCGTTATATATTCATGAAATTTCAGAAAATCTTTCAAAATCCACTTTGTAATACATAAGACTACGGATTTCCTGATGCATGAATATTTTTATGCATTTTTGCAAATATATTTTCATAATGAACTTATATAGTGCAAAACTATGCAGTGCGTGTCCATATTTGTGATAGCATCCAGCTACAAATTGATTTTGGTAAACTTAGTGCATGTCATGAGTGCCCATAGTTTTCTCATTAAATCTGACTGAATTAGGAGGAAGATTTTATAGTATTGTATTTTAAGACATGGGGATTAAGGGATTTAAGTTTAGGGCTTAAATATTTCAATAGAATTTTAATCATAATGCTATTTTTAATTTTTTAATGCATAATCTTATATTTAGTTACTGTTATGTATGTAATTTTAATATTGATCTTTACAAGTTCTATTGGTAACCGTGGTTATGTTTTCACATACTGTTAGTGTGTGTTTGTACATTTTAGACCAAGTTAAAATGTTACTGAAATAACTTTTTTATCCTTTAGCATGTAATATTTTATTTGCTTCATCTGTTAAAGTTTAACAACATATACAACATCATGTCAAAGTGAAGTAGCAAGCCAGTTATTTTTTTTTAATTTGCTGATCATCGAATCGTAACTTTGTTAAATTTATGAATTTGAACAATAGTGCATATTGTACTGTAGATTGGACCATTAATCCAGGGATCCCCAACCTTTTTTTACCTTAGAGCACATTCTAGAATACTGGTGGGATGGCAGGCACATTTATTTTCTTCAAGGTACATTTATAGGGTGACGTAGCTAATGATACACATTATACAGAAATATATATATATAATTTAAAGATTGGCTAAAAATTCTTTATTAAAAATTTAATTCTTAAAGTCAGTGTGACATTTGGCATTTCATTTCATTGGCCATTTATTCATATTGTTATGTTTTTTTCTGACAGCAGTTGTTACGTTATTTTCTTCCTTCACGTTTGTACAGGGTTCGTGAGGATTTGGAGTGAATAATGACACTGCTACTTGATGAAATATCGAAACACACTTTATTGGCCAGTATTGTCAGGACAGCTCAAAACACGTTTTTGCAGTCGTCGATGAACTACTATAAGCATGCTGACATGATCAGCGACACAGCCTCTAGGTTATCAGGCTATCATGGTGGAGACAGCTTCACAGCAAAGCACTAGAGTACAGCTCCTGACTCTGCTTGGTCATTCTTGGAACTCTACGTACTCTCAAGACTCTTAACACTATAGCTCGCGATGCACTCGACGACACACAGAGCACAGCTCCTGACTCTTCAGTTCAGTCGTTCCCTGAGCTCAGCATACTCTCTCGACAATGCACTAACCACGATACACTAGGAGACTCCTTCGGTGCACTTGACGACCCACTTGGCATTCGCTCAATGACTGTCAGCTGACTAGACGAGGCACTCTTTCTGACTGCGAACCAGCAGGGTTTATATACCTTTCGGCTTGTGTTCGAGAACATTCTGGGCTAAACCGGTAAGAATTTGTTTCAGAAGGTTCTCCATCCGTCCATGGCATATTGCCAATTTTGTCGCCAAATGTGGCAACCCTGCCGTATTTTGCCATTTTATGGCAACCCCAAAACTGCTTTGCAGGAAAGCTATCTCACCACGCCTGTACATTTCATAACAATATTTAGGCAAAGAAATTTTGAAAGACGAAGCAATTTTTGATGGTTTCAGAATATATTATCTTTAAGTCTCATGTGTCCGAAGCAGAAGTTAAAGGTCAATTGTCGAATACTTGTAAACCAGGTAGAAAGGAAGATGGCTCGATACCAAAAATTTTAAACTTAGAAATCAATATACTTTAAGAAATATTGAGTTTTTAGTTAATATAGTACCATTGGCTCAAAATTTCAAGTCATCTTTCGAGCATGCATATGCTCTGTAGGAAGGAGGATATTTGTTATAAAATCTTTTAAGTATTAAAGGAAAAGTTTGATGGAATCCAAAACATATTACAATGGATTTTAAACAAGAAGCAATTAATGCAATGAGAATCTTATTTCCCAATGCAACCATCAAAGGATACAGTTGCCATTTTACACAAGCACTTTGGTATTGCGACCAAGACATTGGCATACTATTAGAAAGCAGTGTACATAGTTACGTGAAAGTACTTAATATTTGAGAATAAATTGATCTCAATAATTCGGCTGTTCTTAGATGGGATCGCTTGTTTGTAACACAAGCCTTTTCTTTCATTTAATGAAAGCTTTGCAGAAGCATTGCTTGTAAATGAAGTGATGATACCTAAGATCTTTTATTTACCTTCGGGAATAATTTTAAAAAATATTTTATTTATACTTTTGAATAACATTTTGCAAGAAGTATCGTTTCATGCCATACGTAGAAGAAATGAAATATGTTTTAATGGCTTAAACAATTATTTTTAATGTTCTATGTAAAAATTTGTATTTATCAATTGAGAAACTTCCGACTCTAATTCTTTTATACACTAATGTCTGCATCTGAAATTCAATCTAAATGTAACAATAAAAGTTTGCAGCAATACAAATATCACAAGCTTCTTTTCTAAGCATTTCTCCTTTTAATTCTGTTCAAACGGTGATATGTGCTTTACTAGTATTTTGAAAGTCTTCTGTTTATACTATTCTTCTCTCAGAAAAGTATAATGTATTTTCTGTCTCCTTACTTCATGCTATCATGATGCAACTGGAAGCACAACCAACTGGCAATCGGGAGGGAAGGAGTTCGAATCCCGGCGAAGTCAATAGCTGACTTTTCCATGTTTTCTGTCTCAAAAAAAAAATTCTTTAAATAATAATAAAGATACTCTACATGGGCAGTCTTAACTAAAATATGGCGGATGATAATTCATCCCCACTCGGATTTGACGACCTGGTCCCTCCTCAGTCGCTCTTTAAGTGGTGAAGAATGTAAGGTACTTTTATCTCTCCTTACAACGTGCCTTTGTGGTGTAGTTGGAAGGACATCCCGTGCTCGAATCTCGCCGAGGGCACTGTTCATTTTTCGTCTTTCCTGCTTCAAAATAAACCTAAGAGCTCTACCAAAAAAAAAAAAAAAAAAAAAAAAAAAAAAAAAAAAGCGAAAACAAAAGTGGGAACTTTTAAAATTAAAATTCCATTTGACGTGGACTTTAATTTAATTTAACAAAAGTAAAGATTTAGTTTTATGAGTTGACAACATAAGATATTGTTTTTATTAAAAACAGGACCGATATATTTGCAGGACTTTTAATGTTTTGAAAATTTTTAATTTGAATTGCTTTTAATGTGTAATTTTTTTTCCAAGCTGTTAATCTTAAGTTTTCTTATTGCAAGTTCATTTTCTTTTAATTTCTTTCTGAAAAATACTGATTATATTCTCAGAGGAGGTTGTTTCAGAGAGATGATTGCTGTTGTGTGTAAGGTAAAATATATGTAAATCAAGATTATAATTTAAACTAGCGGTAACCCCTTAGTTCCCCCTCTCTATTCCAAAAATTATAACTTTGTCAAGCCTGTATCTCTTTGAGAACATAGACTTTTAAAAGGACTATTGAAGAATTATCTTCTAGCCTTATGAAACAATACAGAAATCAGAAGGGTAAGACCCTTTTATTCAAACATTAACAAATGACCCAACTTAGGTTACAATAAGCCCAGCACTTCTGGCTGAACAGAAATACGTAACAAATAGTAATTTCAAGGTGTGGTAGATTAGCCTAACGGCTTACAGAAAACTAGGAACGCGCAAGAAAAGCTCTGGTTTGTAGTAAACCGATGAAACAAACCCAATTGGCTACAACACTCAACGCCGCTAACGCAAGTCGCTAATAATCACAGCACAACTTGGCCTGGAACGTGACCTTCGGGAATTTTCTTTGTTTAGATGGCCTGTTACGTGGAAGTAGGAAGTAAGTTATTCATACTTCCATGGCCTGGTCAGCTGCAAAGTTATGCGATTTGACGTCACGAAAGGCGTCTGAGCTTTAGGAGGCAATGGCTCTACAGTGTGGACTCTGTAAGCGAAGAATTTCTACGTTAGTTTGTGTGCTGTCCATTAACGTAGCATT